AATAAACATTCCTGGACTGAATTTACATGGTCTCTTGGAGTTCCTTGGGCTAGGCCTGACAGAGTCACTGTGATGCATAGGATTATGCTGTCTAATCTCACAACATTATGATATGGTTATCTTTTGAGATAAGGTAAACCAGTATCCTGTCTGAAGCTGTATATACACAAGCATGCAGCAGCATACTTCTATCTAGAATTCTCAATCCTTGACCAAAGGGTTCCATAGCCAGGTCCATGATGCCAATAGAGATCTTTAATATACACGTAGTCCTCACTTAACTACCGTAATAGGGACTGGAAAATTGGTCATTAAGTGGGGTGATCATTAAATTAGTCACCATGTGACTGGACTCAATTTTATAACCATTTTATGATGGTCAAGTGAATCACCATGGTTGTTAAGCAAATCACCATGGTCTTTAGGAGAATCCAGCTTCCCCAAGGGACATTTTTTGCCAGAATTCGCTTAATGACCACATTATTCACTTAATGACCACAAGATTTGCTTAACAACCCTTATGAAAAGGTCACAAATCACAATTGTGACTGTGTGGAGTGGTGCAACAGTTTGCAACGGTCGTAAGTGCGAGTACATGTAAAGCACTTTTTCTGAGGTCGTCATAACTTTGAACCATTGTTAAATGAATGGTCATTAAGTGAGGACTACCTGTAGTACCTGGGATTCTCCCAACAGCAGGTCAGGGTAAAATAGGTGTGCTAGTAAGGCCCACATTCAGAACTCAGCCTGCTTTTATTTTACCCCAAATCCCATTGGAAGGCTATACTGACTTGGGAATTTGGGGAGTTACAGACCCATGCTTTTGGCTACACCTCATTTTCCATTGTTTTTCTACTGTTGCTCCAAAGCAACTGATGTCGGTAGAGAAAGACAGGTTATGGTCTTATTTTTGGACAGCACAGTGTATGAACAAGGGGACCCTGAACTGAGCGGGAAGTCTAGAGCATGCTGTGAGTTTCAGTCTACAGTACTAGGAATAAAAGTCCAACCTACTTTCCCCTCAACATTCTCCACTACAGTACAACTCAAATGAAGCCATTTCAGTTGTACTCACAGAAGATATTTATTTGTTATTAGATTTATACCCCAACTGTATTTTGTACAACTCAAGGTGACATATATAATGCTCCTGCATCCTTTTTCCCCACAACAACAACCCTGTGCAGTGGGTTGGGCTGACAGAAAGTGACTGGCTCAAAGTCACCCAGCTGACTTCACGCCTAAGGTGGGACTAGAATTCACAGTCTTCTGGTTTTCAGCCTTAACCATTAGCACCAAACTGGCTCTCATGTACAATTTTTCAAAAGGTGTTTTGTAGTTCTTTTTTTTTAAAACTCTTTAACCTCCCTTCCCCTTCAGGAAACTTGTTTCCTACCTGTTGTAGGTGAGGGTGGCTCATTGCACTGAAGCTGAGAATATATCCAAGGGAGTCTATGAGAAGTTCTCGCAATGGGGAGCATGTTTCCATACCTTCTTCCACACCAGCTCTCCTCTAGCCTAAGCCACCTATTCTTGAGGGAGAAATATTCAGCAATGAATTGCTTACCTTTGTACATTCATCCTACATGAGAAAGAAAAACCAACCGAAGTCGCAGGACTTTGGCCAAATTTTTTGTTGTTTAACCCCTCCAGTATTAGGAGATACAGGGATAAATGTAGATGTAGTATTCAGGTGATGTATATACTTCATAAATAAATGACTAAAGCAAGCAAGCTGTTTCAGCCTTGTACAGATTCTTTAGTATTTTTTTTTATTTCTCTCTTTGTCTTCATTAGGTGGAGCACACAGATCTGTAGAAGACAGCAGCCACTTGCAGAATCTTGAGGCCACTAGATATAGGTGAGAAATTCTGGGTAAGAAGGGACCTGAGCAGAGGAGGAAAGGCAGGATGTAAATAATGAAGATTTGAAGCATACAATTTTGTGGGCTAACATCCATCTTATGCCATGAATGTATTACTCACTTTCTGAGATGCCACTAGATTGTCTTAGAGGAAAAAACGTACTGAAAAAAAGACAAAACTTCAGGTTATTGTAAGTAATAAATGCTAGACTTGCCATGTCATAATTCTTTCATTCCTTCTCAGTTCTTTCTCAAGTGCAGTTTCACAGCAGACTGGCATTTATTTGTATCATTTTTCATTCCTTACAAGTAACTTTGAGTGAGCTTTTTCCAGCTGAAGAGATGCTCGCATTTAGGGTCTGTACGAAGTACGAAGTCTCTTAATGCTAATACAGGTAGTCCTTGCTTAACGACCACAATTGGGACTGGAGTTTAGGTCACTAAGCAATGCGGTCATTAAGTGAATCATCACATGACCAGACCTGATTTTGCAACCTTTTTTGCAGTGGTCCTTAAGTGAATTGTGTGGCTGTTAAGCAAATCACGTGGTCGTTAAGTGAACCAAGTGGTTCCCCATTTATTTTGCTTGCCGGAAGCTGGCTGGGAAGGTTGCAAATGGCGATCACATGACCCCGGGATGCTGCAACCATCATAAGTGTGAGCTGGTTGTCAAGCACCTGGATCACGATCATGTAAGTCACTTTTTTAGCACTGTTGTAACTTTGAACAGTTGCTAAATGAATGGTAAGTAAGGGCTACCCGTATTTATATTTCAAAGAATTAAACATGTCTGTCTGCCCCTGTAGAGGATTTGGGAATTGTGTAGTGATTTTTTTCTTGTTACCTTGATATTTACTACATTACTGTTGCAGAATGCAGGGAAGTGTACAGTTATCAATGTTGTTTTTGTTTCTGGGGAGAAGATAGCCAAATACTGATAATCACTTTTTAATTTAGTGAAGTATTTTCCAAACATAAACTATTTTTCTTAGTAGAGCTAGGGGAAGAAATCCCAGTTGCCTAAAAATGAAGTGCTTGATACTCTCTCTGCTCAGAGTTGATTCAGAATATTTTTCTGGAACCTGAGAATGGGAAATTCATTATTGGAAGTCCTGTGACTACAGTAATTAGTTTGAGACACCATTAACTCTGAAAACATAGTTAGGCCCTGTTACAGAGTTGTATTTCTGTGTACAGCTGTGGTGGCTTCTGTATTCTGTTATACTCTCTTTTAAATACTAATGAGAAATACTGAAGAGGTGCAGATGAAATTTAAGTGTTCTTATTTGGAGATCCACTGTAAATTAATATTATTTTCTTAAGTGTGTGCCTAGGACTCAGCCTCTGTTGTACTTTAAAGTCATATAATTAGTGGTTGTTCTTGTTGTAGCCATTTAATGTTATAAAACACATGTAGTTTGAATATATAGAAGCAAATATAGTCAAGCAAACTACTTTTGATACTGGTGTGTTCTTTACCATGGCATAGTTTTACAATTTGAAGGCCCAGGAGTATTTGAATAAATATTTATTTAAAATGTTTATTTTTTACATATAAATTATCTGTCTAAATGTTTATCTGTATGATAAAGCTGATTGCTACCTCTGAATAAGTCACCTTTAAATATCACCCCCAAGGTATTTAATCAGTACCCTGAAAGTAAATTGCCAGCAAAATAATAGCCCATTTGGTTCAGAAAAACAGTATGATTTCATCCCACATCATTTCACTGGTACACTGATAACATCTTGTTGTTGTGTAATATCTGTGTCTTGACATGTGAAAGCTTGTGCTTGCATCAGTATGTAAGTGAGGTTTCATATGAAGATTTCTGCCCATCATTTCCTGTTAAAGGCACAAGAGCCCCATCATAAAAATATTGGCAGCCTATGTACTAAAGTATTTAAAGATTGTTTATTCTGTGGGCATTGCTACTAAAGTATTTACAACTCAGTATCCACATAGGTATATTGCTTTTTATCTCTGATTGCCTGGATGATCTATGGGGGAACAGATATTTGAATAGCATCACTATGATTGAATTCATACAACATGCTACATCATAATATGGTTTCATTGATTTTGGTTTATGTGTTGGGTGAATGCAGCCAATATCCTATACCTAACCCCACCAAAACCGCATTGTACCTTAGTATGTTATGTGAACCAGGCTACTGTGGTCTATGCGAGAATATTTGCAGCAGTGAAAATATGGTACTTTTCCTCCAGGAATTTAATTGAAACAATAGGCTCACTCAATGTAACATCTTCAATGCAAAAGGAAAACAAAGGTATCTATACTATTTCCATCACTAAAGTTCTGCATGTCATCATTAAAATTGTACACAATTCCTATTACATGAATCAATAAATGAGAAGAATTCTTGAAATGATAACAGCTTATAGAAAACTTGTATTTTTTTTCATTAAGAACAGTGCTCATTATTACAATGACATGCCTGTAATAGTTAGAATAATTATACATCACAGAAAATGTGCTTATTTATAAATTGACTTGATTAGATTCTGAGGTCACAACCTGTTGCCATTTCACAAACAAGGGTCTTCTTAACTTGTTTTCAGCTCAGTGGAAGTTCTCTTTCTGCAAGAATTGTCAAAATATTCTATTAATAGCTCTCAAAATAAATCCTGCCACAATAAAAGGATTTAGAGTCTAAGGTTTGCTTTTTAAACTTTTTTTCTGTCAGCAGACATGGGGAAATCTCTTTCCATGCCTTTGCCTGCTTCGAAAGAAGATGGTATTTCATCCTCTGATAACATGAAAAATGGATTAATCCAGTCAGAAGCTCATAATGAAGAAGGAAAAAACGGAGATGTGTCACAGTTTCCATATGTTGAATTTACAGGAAGAGATAGTGTCACATGTCCCACTTGTCAGGGCACTGGGAGAATCCCACGTGGTATGTGTAAATCCAGAAATAATATCTCTGATAACTACAGTTAAATATATTTTGCTTTCATCTGCAAGTCTTAACCTCTTAGAGACTTACCCTCTTAGAGAATGTGTGTTTATATTGTTTTCTTTAAGCTGACCTGTCTTTGTATATGAGAATATTGGTGTAAAATTTACAGTTTCATTTCCTTAGATTTGTTTTCTCCTTTTTATTTTATATTCTATACTACAAACAACATAAAATCACAAGTTATACAGTCATATTAATTATAAAAATTCCAGAAAATATAACTATTTAGAAAATGCAAATATCCCAGAAAATTCAATTTCATTATTACTTTTAACTGAGCACAACTTGATTGACCTCAGAACCTGAATTTGGTTTATTTCTGTATAAAAAATGTTCTTAGCCAGCTAATTATACTATGCCAGCAAACAGAACAGATTTAGAAATTATCATGTACATTCAGGGTTGCCTTCAACATATTTTGCTTAGTTTGAACTCAGTATTGTTTTGTGCCAGTTATGAGACCCATTTAGGTATACAGGTTAGAAGACAGAAGCAGCTAAAATATTTTTTTTATGTTTACTCAGCAGACAAAGCCAAAAGCAAACAACTGTAGTATGCTGTGTGAATGCAGCCATTTCAAACCATGATATGTTTTTGTTTTATAAAGTTTGGTATATGGCTTATGGGCTTGGGGAGAATAGCCTAGAATAGCAGCTAAAATATTTTTTTTATGTTTACTCAGCAGACAAAGCCAAAAGCAAACAACTGTAGTATGCTGTGTGAATGCAGCCATTTCAAACCATGATATGTTTTTGTTTTATAAAGTTTGGTATATGGCTTATGGGCTTGGGGAGAATAGCCTAGAATCTCTGAGAAAAAGAGTGTTTCTATTTTGTACTCTGTTTTAGCAGCTGGCCAGTGGCAAGATAAGATCATATGGTGTGTGAACAGTCCTAGTTGCTACAAAGTGTTTTGTAGCATTTCAGAGATGAAGGAATGAACAAAACAGCATTAAGCACAGTTTTTCTGTTATGGAGATTTTGGCTTCCTCAACACATAGAATCATAAAGTTGGAGGTACCTTTTGGAAGTCATCTAATCCAACCTTGTCCTTAGTGCAGGATCCTCTAGAGCAGATGACTAACTTCTGTTTGAAGACATGGTTTAATAGTGTATCAAAACACAGCTAATATGCCTCTTTATTATTTTAAAGTATTGTTATTCTTAACAAAATACACCCCTTTATCTGAGTCTGCTGGAATAGACTTTATTTCATTTATTAAATGAAATACAGGTAGTCCTCGCTTAATGACCACAATTGGGATTGGCAACTCAGTCACTAAGCAACACAGTAGTTAAGCAAGACATCATGTGACTGCAACTTGCAGTTTTACTGCTGGCTTCTCCATTGACTTTGCTTGTTGGAAGCCGTCTGTGAAGCATGCAAATGGCAATCACGTGACCACGGGACACTGCAATGGTCGTAAGTGCAAGGACTGGTCATAAAGTTACTTTTTCAGTGCTGTCATATCTTTGTATGGTTGCTAAACAGGGCAATCATTAAGCAAGATCAACTTGTACTGAGGTGTGCTAACCTCATTATAATACACACTGATTAAAACAGAAACTTTCAATGATCATCAAAACTATTTTACTTGGTGCTGAAAAGAGGGTGAAGCTATTGAGCAAACTTTTGCAAGTCGATGATTTAGGAGGTATGATGTCACAGCTGAAAAGACAACACAAACTTATAAAAAAAAACTATTTCCCCTGAAAGAATATTTTATGTGTCAGTTTAAAAAAAATCTGCCTCTTGATAATTTATTGTACCTGAACAACATGGTTCTTGAATTTAGTCTATGATAGATATATATGTTATGCAGAGCTTTCATGTTACAAAAATTTCAGCTTCATCAGCATAGCATGTGGCATATTTTACTGGCTTTATAACAGCATCAATTGGGTGTAGAAATAACAGGATGCTGAAGAATTACCTTCTATTCCAGGACAGGAAAATCAGCTTGTGGCCCTGATTCCATACAGTGATCAGAGACTGAGGCCAAGAAGAACGTAAGTTACAATAGCCATGACTGCATGTGGTATTGCTGAATTCCTTTAGTTAGGTTTTGACTAAACAAATGTACTATCAAAAGGTTTAATTTAATACTTTTCTGCTTGCTGTTTAGCCTTGGAAATTGTTCTTCTGTTAACATAACCTCCTACAAAACAGGTTGGGCTGCATTGCAAGAGTTGCTGTTGCTTATTATTAACAGGAAGTGCTATTAGGTTTGGAGCTTTGCCATGTTTCATTGAGTAAGTTTGAGGTGGGAGGGTTACCATGGGTGACAACATTCTAGTGTTTCATGGAAATGTTTCCACTTTTGTTAATTCATATCCATGGCTTAATTGTCCGACTATAAAAAGCCAGGAGGTTGCTGGGAATATCCCAGGGGCTCTAGGGAAAAGATGCACTATGTTAATACTGGTTGTGCCCACTTATTGCTTCAGACCTTGGGAACTTTGCTTTGTTGTTAGCAGTCCTAATTCCCCAGAGATCAGGCAGAATGATGAATGAATGCCTGCATGCACACGTATGTGTGTCTGCAGGCAGATTTCAAAATAGTGATTAACTTTAGAATGGGCACTGGAAATAGCTAGTGGTTGGAGCATGTCCAAGAAGTTGTCAGGTAAAGTAAAAATCCATACAGTGAAAAAATGTATAAAAATGGCACAGAGACTTTAAAGGAGCATCTCTTTTCTCTGCAGAAAGCTTTATGTGACTGCTTCTGTAATCGTATGCTTACTGCTTTCTGGGCTGGCAGTATTTTTCTTATTTCCTCGATCTATTGATGTACAATACATTGGAGTCAAATCGGTATATGTCAGTTATGAAGCACAGAGGCGCATAATATATTTAAATATTACGGTAAGATCTTTGCTGAAAACCTTTTCACTTCCTTCAGTGGTTGACAGTTTATATGGATATTTAAGGTTGTGTTAAGCATCATTTAATCTAGAATCCTGAATTATCTTTTCTGCAGAATACATTGAACATAACAAATAACAATTATTATTCTGTTGAAGTTGAAAACATTACAGCCCAGGTACAGTTTGCCAAGACTGTGATTGGAAAGGCACGGCTGAACAATAATACCCACATTGGACCGTTGGATATGAAACAGGTAAGAATTACTGGGAGTCACATAGCATATCACTATTACAGGTAGTCCTCAGTTAACGATAGCAATTGGAACCAGAATTTCTGTTGCTAAGCAATGTGGTCGTAAAGTGCAATGTCACGTGACTGTGTTGCTTAGCAACAGCAATTCCAGCACTTCCTGGTTGCCATTGTTAAGCGAATCACCACAGGTCATTAAGCAAGGATGCGACATGGTCGCCATTTGCAACCTCCTGCCAGCTTCCCCATTGATTTTGCTTGTAGGAAGCTGGCAAACAAGGTGGCAAATGGCAACCACGTGGCTGTGGGACACTGCAACATCGTAATCATGAGCCAGGTGCTGAGCACCCAGATCACAATCACGTGACCGTGGGTACACTGACGGTTGGAACTTTGAGGACTAGTCGTAAATCCCACTCATTCAGTGCCATTGCAAGTTTGAATGGTCGCTGAATGAGTGGTCATTAAGTGAGGACTACCTGTATTTGATATCAGTTTTCTAGATAGTTATCCTGACTGTTGCTGTTCTTGTTTTCTTTTTCCTTTTCAGATTGATTATATGGTACCTACAGTAATACAAGATGAAATGAGTTACATGTAGTGAGTATTCTATTTCAATTTATAGGGATACAAGATGAGAATTTCACAGCCAAATACCTCCTTTTTGAACAAGAGGATTCCAGTAGCCTGAAACACAGGCTTTGCAGCAATATTTAGGTTTCCCCTAAATGCTACTTTCTTATCCTCCTTCATGCTATACAGGTAGTCCTCGGATTAAGAATGCCCAGGGTACAGACGACTCATAGTTAAGAACAGAGCCTATTGTAGCAAAAGTTGAGTTAAATACACAGTGATTCGAGTTAAATACACAATGGTTAGAATTCACTGCACAATACTACTTATACAATATTATACAATAATACTGTTCTGGCTTACATACAAATTTGACTTGAGCACAGACCTTGGGAACGGAACTCATTCTTAAACTGGGGACGACTATATAGCCCTAAAGGATTCCAGATCTGGCTGCTACCTCTGCATTGAAGTGCTTTATTTATTTGAAAGATTGGGGTTGACATAGCACAGAGAGCAAGTCTTTTAATATGTTTCTCACTTTTTCTTTGTTTGGAGGGGGGTATTGTGGGACTCCTGTGACATGAATGACATCTGCCCAAAGAAAAAATGGGGTATTCCAGCATTTTAGCACAGCTGTAATTGTAATCTTATTGTTGCATCATCATCATTATCATTGTTATTTGATATAAGGGATGAAAAGGGAGGGTTTGGGTACATATCCCATTCCAATTGTTGCCCATTAATATTCTTTTTAATATTTCATTTTAAGAAAGTTCATTTGAAATTGGGAAAAGGAAAACTTAGTTTCTGATGTAATTTATATAGTGTACACTAACACTAGTGTCTTTCTTACAGTGATTTCTGTACTTTAATTTCTATCAAAGTGCATAACATAGTAGTCATGATGCAGTAAGTATGTACAATATTTTCATTTATGGGGAAAATTAACTTCCAAAACAATTGCTTTACTATACGGTATTTCTTTCAGAGTTTAGCATTTCATTAAGATTTCCTTTCTTGTCCTGTTTACATGAAGAGCAATCAGATCTACATATAAGGGTCTTTGCATAACTCCCTTGAACCAGTAATAAGAAGAAAGTTAAATGGCTATAACATTTTGAAATCCTATCACATTTTAATAATGTTTTCTTCACCTATCAGATAATATCAAATGTGCTAAATGCAGTTGAGGACTAGCCAAAGACATCTACATAAACTGAAGAATTTTTTTTTCTCTCTTGATGAAATTGGTAGCAACTCAGTGCTAGGAAAAAACCCATGCATTATAGATGTGTTTTTGGGATTTAGGGCTTATAAAATACTCAAACAAGATGGTTCACAACATCTGGGAATGAGAACAAAGCATCTCTCTCTGAATCATTAAAGCAGCCACATGTATTAATGGTTCACACAGCTGCTGAACTGTTCCTGTTGTGTCTGCACACTTGAGTTGCGTTATACATGAAACAACTGTGAAGTAGGTTAGGCTGAAGGATTAATGACAGGCTGAATGTCACCCAGTGAATTTATAGAAGCTTTGAATTAGGTACTAACACTGCAACCCCCTCGAATTAACTGTTACTCCAAATTATTTCATCTGTTTATCTAATTGAGATTAAGCAAATATGGCTGCATTTTGGAGCTCCAGAAAAGAAGAAATAGAAATGCTTCTCTAGTCTTTCTTATCTGCTAACATTCCTAAACTTCTGTTGCATATAATTCAATTTCCCCCCAGATCATTAAGCAGACTAGTTTATTCAGTCTTGCTCTGTTTATCAAAAATAGTTCACAGTACTGAGGTTATAGAATGTAGTTCAGAATATAGTTAATGTCAGCTTATGTTTGTACATGGTATTAGCTGTTCTTTTAATTTTTTGTGAGTAAAGGTAGTCCTTGAGTTATAACTGCAGTTGGGATCCGGATTGCTGCTGTTAAGTGAAGTGGTTGTAAAGCGCGATGTCGCATAACCAGATTGCTTAGTGGCAATCCAGGCAGTCCCAAGGTGTGTGGGTCATTAAGCAGGAAGCGAAGGGAGTCCCAGGTAAGGAGTGGAGGGGGGTGGGGGAGGCCCGGCACAGGCTGTGTGAGAGTCAAGGGAGGGGGTGTTTGGTGGACTGCAAGCTCAGAAAGGCCAGGGAATGAGGGCATGGGGTACATGTAATCACAGGGAAGCCAGGGAAAGAGGGCGTGGGTGCATGTGTGCAATCTCAGGAAGGCCAGGGAAAGAGCACACATCCATGCGATTGCAGGGAGGCTGTGGAAAGAGGGTACAGGGTACATGCATTCATGTATGTGATTGCAGGAAGGCCAAGGAAAGAGGGTGTGGGGTATGTGTGTGTGTGATTGCAGGGAGGCCGGGGAAAGAGGGTGTGGTGTGTGTGGGATCGCAGGGAGACCATAGAAAGAGGGTGCAGGGTGCGTGCATATGAGTGTGTGAGCACAGGGAGGCCGGGGAAAGAAGGCACAGGGTGTGTGCAAGCGAAGGGAGGAAGGAGGGCATGGTGTGTGCAAGTGAAGAAAGGCCGGGGCGGGGGAGAGACTTGCCCCAGCAACTTGTGGGCTTCCCATTGACTTTGCCTGGGGGAAGCCGGCAGGGAAGGGTGCAAATGGTAATTATGTGACTGCGGGATGCTGCAACTGGTCGTAAGTGCAAGCTGGTTGCCATGCACCCAGATTTTGTTCATATGACTGTGGGGGTGCTGCAGTGGCTGGAAGTTTGAGGATTGAACGAACGGCCATAACTTAAGGACTACCTGTAAAATATTTAAAGTTTACAGTTAACATACTATGGACCTTTAAAAGTATAGGAAGTTCCTCTTAAATCTTTACTCATACATAATATATGTATCCATCTCTCCCTCCCTATTTTGTTTTAAAGAGTGACTGTAACCACTTCCTACTTTGGCCACTCGGAACAAATATCTCAGGAAAGATACCAGTATGTAGACTGTGGTGGAAACACAACTTACCAGCTGGGACAAACTGAGTATCTAAACGTGCTTCAGCCTCTTCAGTAAAAGAAGCAGAAATTGAATCTGTATAAGGAAAAAGACATGACTCTTGGTTTTTCACTGCTCATCCAAGTTGAACTTTTGATTATATATGATACTGCTTAGAGGTGGATGTACATAAAGTAGCGGGTCTGAAGGTTTCCTTATTTTATGACATAAAAAAAGGACAAACTGCATATATCCACACTTAATAACTTCTACCTTTCCACTCTAAATGTGTAAGTATTGTGTCAGTCAGTTAAACTGGGGGTGGCAGAAAGAAAGAGAAAACCATCTTAAACACATTAACTTTGTATTTGCCTATATGAGAACATGGATATGTTACTCTCCCAACACATGTTTTTTGTTCTAAGTAGGCTAATGATACAGTAATTTCAGAACTCGATTGTTTTAGTTGGAGTCTAAATATTTGTTGTACATAAATAATTTGGGCCTCATTGTAACATTAGATGACACGTGCTTGTTTTAATAACCTTAGGACAGATCAGTGTTTACTGTGTTGGAATTTTGTTTGTTGAAAATTCTTTTACAGGTGGAGTGTTTATTACAGGCCACTTTTCACAAGGTCCAACAATTTGCTTGAAAACTTGGAGGAGATTGAAGATGAATAGCACTTGATTTAGACACATTTGATGTGTGCTGCTGAGTTGAAGAGAAAAAAAATGTAATGCATTAAAATAATCTCTAATTATTAAAAACAACTGAATCAGTTCATACGTTTCAAAGGCTGACTCTATGAAAAGCATTTTAATGCATTTTGTTACCTTTCATATCAATATAAATGCTTAACATACACTGGATGGTCCCTTTTTTGGCTTACATCATGTGCGCTTCTCATTTAAACATATAAATAGTCCTTGAAAATACAAAGTTAAAGTAGCCAAGCTTGTACCCCGGCTGACATGTTTTGTGTGAGAATAATAACTGATAAGAGCTATGGTGCTGAAAAGAATCTTGTATGGGTTTAAATCTGATTGATAAGATTTTTCTATTATGTATTTTTGCTAACTGGCATATCGCCTGTGTTTGATGTGATATTCTGTGACATAATAATTTTGAAGCCCATTTAGCAAATGTTAATTGGAAATGTCTCATTATAATCATTTTTAATATTTTTGCTTCTTGCAACAACTCATCCATGAATAGGTTTACTGAAATCATAAGACTAGCTTTGCACTAGTATGAGATAAATATAAGCTAAGGGTTTGAATTTTAAAATGACCTCACTAATCAGTGCTCTTATTGTTACAGATTATTGACTCTTTTGTAATGGACAACAGCAAAAGTTATTAAACTGTTTTGAAGGAAAAAGCATATTAACAATGAACAGGTATTTTTCCACTCATTTGATTCTTGAATTCTCACCCACCATCTCTACCATTCTGAGACTAACACAGAAAGCAGAATTTTTAAATTACACAAATAAGTATAAAATGTCAGAAGTTGATACATGTAACTTCAAGATCATCTACATATCACTACATTAAAGGTTTCATTGGACTTTCTAATATATTTTGAAAGCCACAACAGTTAGAAACATTTAGGAGAAAAGATGAGGGTGGGCAGATAGTAGCAAGTGATTTTTTTTTTTTAAACAAGTCCTTTGCATCATTTTAATAGACCAGAGTCATTCAAAGAAACATAAGATTTGTCTGATTAAAAATGATTGGTGCAGAAACTATGTTGTCAATGTGTTTTTACAAATCTTCAACTCAGTCAAAATTTTTGATGGCATTACTTGGAAATAGTCTCACAGTTTAACACATCATATTTTTGGTAGAATGGAAAATGAGCTAAAATAAACCAAGATAACCCACTTGTTTCCTGACAGTGACTGAGGAAATACATTATATCCAAATCCAGTTTGAGTGAACTTCTCTTATAACTGTTACAGAATGTGTACTAGAAGATTTCAAGTAACAGAGACACAGCACTTTAAATAAAATCTGATTTTTTAAAACAGCAGTCCAAGAACTGCCTTGTGATAACATTTAAATGTGTGCCGGAAGTGCAAAATTAATGCTACTGGTACAAATTAGGTGCCCAATTAATACCTTACAGCCAGCAAATACAACTGTGGAGTAATTGAAATCCACTTGAAATGTTTGCACCATTTAATGATACCTACTAGTTAGATACTTATTTCATAAAATGAAATTTTCAGAATAGCTCTTGGATTTCTTGTTACTTATAAAATACCTTTGTTCTATATTTTGAAACTTACATGAATTACATGTGTATGGTATACACATTGCTGTATTCTGTAATTGTGGTAAATTATTCAGGCATATATGCTTTGATTAAATTCATATGAATTGCCAATTAAATAACATTGTAAAGGCTACGCAATTTGGAATGATGTGGTTCAGGTGTAACTATACAATACAGTTCAGGAGAAAAAATATGATGAGATCCTATTTATTTGAAAATATCAGTGTTAAAAATTAAAGTCAGTTTCCTAAGTTGGGGTGTATTGTATAACTTCACCTCACTCAGAATCAAAAACAATTTTAACTTTTTACATACAAGGATATGGCAAAGCTGAGGCTTTCTATAACTCCTTCCCCACAACAGTAAACCAGTCTTTCCCAACCCAGGTGCTCTCCAGATCTGTAGACTTCAATTCCCAGAATTCTCAGCAACAGCCATGCTGTTGAGAAACCCTAGGAGATAAAGTTCATGCATCTGGAGGCACTGAGGTTGAACGAGGTTGTACTGAGCCATGATTTATCTTCATATCTGAGCTAGAAAACTGTCAGGCTCTCTTACCTTTTCCTTGATGGAAGTGCAATTGGTGACTGTGTTAAATAATATACTTGGAGAAAACAGCTAAAGTAGTTATGATTATAAAATTCGCATATTAAAAATCCTTTTCTGAAGAAAATAACGTTATTTATTGTCATCTTATGTGTATCTTGAATGCCTTGGTTCTAAAGTTGTTATCTTTAGATATAAAATGTTACCATAATCCTCCCTGCCTCCTATGGAGTAGAAATGCATTTATGAAGTTAGAATTCTAGATATGCATTACAATTTGTGACAATTATTGTTCTATCATCTGCTTAGCTGATGAGGATTGGGACAGCCCTACAATTTTTATTAGAACATAAAGATTTTGACATAAAAACAAATTAACTTATTTGACTTCATTTTTTTAAAAAAAATCCATTAATTAACCACTAGTGCTCATTGAATAAAAATGTATATAATTCATGTATGGAAATGCTAAAAGGTGGTAACTATTTTTGTAATATGAGAATTGTACTTGTTTCTGTAACAGTGTGTGGCAGATTCTGTGTGCAGTGTTTGGAAGCATGAAAAATAAAATGTCTTTATGCTGTGTCAGTTTTTGACATGACTTTAGAGACTCCAAAATGGCTAAAATGGTATTGCTGAAACTCATTAATAATCTGTACCTTTTTTCTAGCAAACTTTTCCAGAATGAAATTAATGTTGAAAATTAGTTTGTACTTTTAAAGGGTTGTTGATTCATATCTTTCCCTACTTGTTTCTGTTTGAAATATGGGCAGTGTAGTTTACTCAGGTTTTAATGTTGTAAGATGAATAAGCTACAATATGTTTTTTTAACTGAGCTGAAAATTAAAAGCAAATCTCTCTTTCCTCTCTTTTCCTCACACTGCCTTGCAAATTTGAGCTCTTTAAACCTTCATCCCTGTAACACCCAAGAGCAAGTCATAGATTAAGATCCTATTTAGTAAATCAAACCTTGCTTTGTGTATAATAGGAAATGGGATTTAGAGAAAAACACTGCATCATTAATGGAAGATGACTTAGATCATGGATAAGCATACTGATACCTGAAAAGGCTTTTGATTTATCTTTGAGTTTTATTCTTCATTTTAAAAGCTTTTTTATACATGTGCTTTAGGACTGGAGTCAATTTCATCAGAAATGAACATTTGTTTCTTTGAAGGCTGTAGAAGCACCCAGTGGTGGAGTGCAATACAGTTATGCAGATAGTTCTATAAGACAGAAAGTTTCCTATTTAGAGCATAAATGAATATATTTTATGCACTCGTGAATTATACATTATGCTATATTCTCTTGGCCTCTTTAGAACCACTCTAAAAATCTCCCACCAGATGAATTGATTAGACTAGTAAAACATCAGAGGTAACTTGTTTTTATACATTGCATCACAACATGTTTTTACATCATAGCTACCACCACACTCTTATAGGGGTTGAAGGTTGACATGACTGAATCAGAATTCTGACATCTCTGTATTCAAATGGACAGAGCATACTGTTAGAATGTATTCTAAATCTTTCCAAATGGCCCTTTTAAAAATGATGTGCTATGGGAAAAATGTCCACATGAAATACAAGTTTCTTTGCTTTTATCTGATGAAACCCATTTTAGGAGGCTTTTCCAAACTCTGGAATACAGCTTTTCCCTTACTGACTACCACTTGGGAGGCTTTGCAGAGGTGTAAATTGTATAGACAGTGCAGAGACAAGAAGATGGCTTTAATTCGAAAAGGCAGGTTTTATTGTTGGAAATTGCATGATGTAGTTTGAGTTTTCAGCAGAGCCATATGCATTAGAATTCATGTGTTTGTAAGATTTATATTCTGCCTTCCAGGAGCTTAAGAGAATGTACTTGGCATTCCCTCCAGTTTTTTCTTGCAAACAACAACCTTACGAAATAGGTTAGACTGAAAGACTAACCAGCAAAGTCACTGAGTGATTATATCTGAGGGTGGATTTTAACCCACTCCTAGTTCAGCAGTTATACCACAGTTGGTTCTTAAACTGTTCTGTTCTATAAGCGCTATTACATTTTGGCAAAGATTCTGTCCAAATAGGGTTTCAACGTTTTAATAAGAGTTTTGCATCCTTCAGTAGTGGCATTAATTGAGGCTAGGCTTCATTATTGAGTATTAATATTTAGCCTTTATGAAAATATTGCGCTACTCTTAAATAAAGTTTAAAAGGAATTAGTTTTAATCATTTTATTTAAATCATGTAGCCTAAACTACGTTAAAAAAAATTACAAACAATTCAGGTTCCCTGGTGCTCTTTTTAAAAGCAGGTGCTACACATTTTTTTTAATATACAGAAAAAATTACTCTTAAGTAATGTGCATTGTTGATTACTTAAAAGATGGTGCCATGTGATTTGCATACATATGGGTGATGTGGACTTTACTAGAAGCCTGCAAAGACAATATTTGGGAATTTTATTTTTTGTTCAGTGCTACAAAAATAAATTATTCATTTCTGAAACCATAAGGGCGAATAAAGGAGTATCATGTGAAAAAAGTGAAAAACTTTCTGGCATATGTCAGTTCTTGTTTTGCTTTTAAAATTGTGACTAGATTTATGCACAACACATGTAATAACGTGTTCTGAATTGTGTACGTGCACAATTTTATACAAGCATTCCTTGCCAAATCCCAATTACAGCATGTGGTGGCATCTAGCTGTCCTTTGCAGATCTTAGACAACTAAGCTTAGTTTGACCTGGTTAGTATTTGGATGGGAGATCACAAGGAAATCCTGAGGCTGTAGACTAAACTTGGAAGTAAAAAAGCCCAAAACAAAACCCCAAGCCATCGTAGGAGAAGGAAATGGCAAAGCGCTTTTATAACAATGTTGAGAAAATTGTATGAATGTCTCTCAGTAGTCATTGGGAACTAAGCCCACTCAAGGAAGACTTTAAAGACCTCTTATTTTAAGTTAGAATTGATGGTATGTTGTTATTTTATTCTACATCTGTGATGTGTTTGGATATAAGCATATGATACATTACTACTCCTCCTCTTCAACTGATTGATTACATGCCATCAAGTTGTTGTCAACTCTTAGCAACCACATAGATAGATTTTCTCCATGATGATCTGTCCCTAACCTAGTCCTTCAGCTCTTCCAATAGTGTACTCATCACTACTGCAGTTGAATCCATCCACCTTGCTGCTGGTCATCCTCTTCTATTTCCTTCCATCTTTCCCAGCATTAGAGCCTTCTCCAGAGACTCCTTTCTTCAAAATAAAGTCTTATCTGCTGGTGTAGAACAAATTGTATATTAAACCTGCTAGAAAAATTGGCCAATATGAAAGAGTCTGAGAGAGATACATTTATGGAGTTACCCAGTTAGACAACAACCTGTCCAAGTATACTCAGGTGGACCTCCCCAGGCCATCCCCAGTAGGGCTGTTAGCACCAACTATCCTGTAGGAAGGGTCCCTAAGGAAAGCAAGGAAGGAGGTAACAGCCATCCTGAAAACCTACTCATGTTGGGTTCACTTCACAACTGAACCCCTTTAGTCTCCTTTCTTTGCTATGAATCCAGATTCTTGAAACCAGATTCAAACTTGAACTGCTCTGGACAACTGTTCTGTACTTTGGAATTCAGCAGCCCATTCTATACTACAACTTGATGTGTATTGTACTGGCTAACTGAAAATACTGAAGGCTGTGTTTATAAAGAAATGTGACTAATGTAGAGAAACTAACATTGCTCAAGAAATGAAACTTGCAGTGTGGTAAATAGGATCCAGACTAAATGAGTTAAACTTTACTCCCATTAAAAATGAAAGATCCTTGCTAGATCAATTTGTAAAAAACAGGGGGAGCTTCCATAGCACTGTCATCATCATCTTGACTTTTTTTTATACTACAACCCACAGACACCCCTGAATCTACTCCAGTATCTTGTTCCCAAGTCAAGTCAATCTCTGTGGGTAGCTGCAGCTTTCTATTCCCGCCAGTGCTAACTTAAGTCCACCCTTATTATGAGATTAAAGCATTTCCAGGTGCAATTTCAAGGTGCTGGTTATTACCTATAAAGTACTAAGTGGCATGGGGGCAGGATATTTGAGGGAACCACCTGAAGAGGACATATGGAATTTCCTTGAAGGACAGGAGGAAGAGAACCACTAGCAAGGCAACAGTCAGATAAGTGAAGCTTGAGCCTGGACCAAGAAAGTAATTTAAGAAAATATCTCAGACGAGCCCCTCCCTAGTTTACACAAAGGTAAAGTCAGGGAGGGGGAAGCACATTCAGATTTGCAAGATTCTATTACTATAACTTGCAATAATATAGTCCTTATCTACAGTATATGGTATTGGTTTCTTAGTCTCCCTTACAGGATGGGCATTGCTTACTCCCATTGTTTCTAGCATACCATTAGATTGTGCAGAAGGGGTATGCTCTGGGTCCCAACTATTAGGGATTGTTATCTAGCAGGACCCACAAACCTTTTCCATAGCAGGACTAACCCACTGAATCACCATGCCACCCAAGATTTAGCTGGCCCCGACTGCTCACCTTTCAGAAAGCCTTGAAGACCTGGCTGTTTTCATAGGCATGGGGGCCAGGGGATCAATCAAGCCCACACTATTGGTGGATGGTCTTTTTGGGAGCTACTTTCGGTTGGTTGGTTGGGTAGAGTATTTTTTTTTTTAATATACATTGTATTTATATTGCATTTGAATTCTTGTTAGCTGCCCAGAGTTGCATTAGTGAGATGGCTGGTCATATAAATCAGTCCAGTTACCTAATATGCACCAGGTTTTAAGGATATGCTGCATTCCATTTTCAATTAATTAGTCATGCACTGGAGCCAGACCTATTTTTAGAACAGACCCTTTGAATCAACCCATAAATATGATTAAGCCTGGATTCAGCTTGTGACACTTGCAAAGACAAAGATGTTCTGTATGCATTCTTAATACCTAGGTTGGAATAACCACTTTCTTATTAAAGAGCTTTTATTTTACAGTTATGGATTCTTTCTTTCTTCCTATCCCCAAATATGGGGGGGGGGGATGCTGTGCTCTAAGCTTTTTCTTGCTTATGAAATCTTTGATCTTTCTTTGCCATAATTTATTAAAATTATGGAATGAATCAAGCCATTTTGCAAAACTGAAGGCCTTCATAATGAAGTCTAATGTGTGTTCTGAATAAGATATATAGTCACTAAAATATAAGAGGGAAGATAAAATTAAGATAATTTTAATAGAATTTTGAATAATTGAACATAAAGATTAAAACATTCTTATGAAAAGAATGATTTATACTGGTGATAGTTGATAACTTTATTCCCCTTGGAAAGTAGAGAAAATTAGTTTTCTGAAGTGCGTATTAAAAGGGCCATCTGCTCTCCCTCATTTCGGTGAAAATAAATTCTCAGTTTTTAGACAAGCAAAAATGAATACAAACTATTTACATTTGCTTTAAATCTTACAGATTATATCAATATTGTATATAAATTATGCTAGGGAAGGTAGAAGTTAATGAGAGAGGGACTCAGAGACAGTAGAAGAAAGGTTTTGCAAAGTGAACCAAGATTGTTCTAAAGAGCTGCCCCTTATTTAGAACAAGTCTCCAACTTTTGAGAATGGTGGTGGAAAAGAAAGTAATCAATCGCTTAATACATTAACTTGTTCTATAAATCAAAGCGTACATGTGAAGAGATTTTAATAACAATTTTTTTAAGATGAGTGTGCCTTTGGATTAAATATGAATAAAAATATTTTTTCAGTCTGTGTGTACTGGGAAAATCATAAATCATGTACCATCAATACAAAAACTCAGTAATCTAAATGAAAACAAAAAAT